CTTGTAATCTTGAATTTTAAATAATATGCATCAATAAACAGTAATTCATGCATAAAAAATAATTTTTAAGAATTTTTATCAAATGCTTCGTAATATAATATATATATTAGATAGGTTTCGGACTTTGGGTCTCTTGATCTCATGAGAAAATTTTGGGCCTACGCCCAGTGGGCCTTGTAACTCCTCGAAATCTTTCACGTGACCTGGGTTTTGGGGCCCGATCAACAATTTTCTTTGGTTATTTTGGGTAGGAAATGGGAAGGTACAAGTACAACATTTTCGCAAGATTTTAAAGAAAGAATTTGGGTTCTTTACTTTGCTTAATCATCTTTATTCAAACGTAAGCATAATTAGATTCGTCAGGTTTAAGTTGAACAGGTTGTTGAATCCTCTAAATAGACAGACAGACAGACAAGCATAAGTTCAATACATGAACAGACAAATTTCCTGTCTCAAAAGACATTGCAAATGCATACCTCAATCCAATTCAAATTCTTCTTCGAGTTTTTGTAAGTTAATTCCTCTTGTTTATTATAAGCATACTCTATTACTGTTGGGATATTCCTTGTTATTTTCATTTCTGGATATATTATATAATATTTCTGTTTCGTTTTAATCTTAAGATTTGTTGTGTAACGAATATTTAACTACTGATTCCAAGATCTAACACTTTCTTAATTAAAATATAAACCTATTCATGTTTACAAATAGTATTTTACTAAATCCAAGATCTAACACTTAATAAGCTTGATTTATTTTAAAAAACCATATATAACCGTACTTAAAATATCTCTAACGTGTAGTTCAGTTGACAAAAGGGTTGGGTGACTTTACCCAAATACAAGACATGTCATCAGTTCGATCCCAGGACGTGCATTATTGACCTCAACCGTTGAGCGAAACAAAGGATGCCCCCTCACATTGGAGTCTTTGAAGGGGGTTTTCGTGTAGGACCAGTTAAGATGGTAATCAACTTTAACCCAAATTGTAATTAAAATTTTATTGTTAATATCCTACTTGCAAAAATGCAATACTGTAAATTCGTAACTACAGTATTGTTTCACATTTGCTATCTCCAACATGTTTACTACAAGGTCTTCTAGTTGGTTACAACTTGACGTTACCATTGTCTCGACAATAAAATTTGGTGGGATTAGAACCTCTCAAACGAATTGAAATTCGAAATAACTGGAATAAGATTTAATGAAGTTTGATCATGCATTTGATTGACATGAACTGAAATAGAATCTCTCAAAGGAAATTGGAATCTGCATGTTAAGTTGACATAATGCAGTTTCAAAATTGGAATGAAATAATAAATAACAGATGAGGTAATTAAGTGAGGATAATAACTTATACGGATAAATTACCCTTTATATATGATATTTTAGTACTATCTTTAGTACTTATTTTTGGAGCATCCCTGAATGGAGATAAAAGTCTAGGGCATACAATTGAAATAAATATGTGCATGGACTTGTGGTATAAGTAGGCTTATGAACTGTCTTACAAGTACAGTTCTAGAAATATGAGTGTAGAAGTAGCAAACTTTTTTTCCCTTGTCGGTCACGTAGAATATGATTTCTAGCACAATTGTTTAAATGTCATGTCAGTTTTAAAACCTCTTATAATTAAAGGGTTAAGTGTTCTTATCTATCTTGATGTGTTGCTCATCATACTCACCTTTCATTCTAATATTTTGGCCGAGTAGTTGTTGACAGACAATAGTTATCATTCTCAATTACCTTATGGGGTACATTCTCAGTCGTTTTACATGGTAAACACTTATGGAATAAGAATCTTCTTCTCGTTTACCGGGTAAAATTCGCAATCCTTGCCATAATTATCTGGTGAAGTAATGACACCCTTGCAAAACATTCAGTAAACAACCCATAATTCTAATAAGTTTCAACCGTCAAGTATTAACCAATCAATATTGGGTTGGAATCTTTGTAAACCATCATAAATTGGTTGGGTTGAATAATATCACCTGTACTAGTAAAAGTTGCATAAGTGTGAATGAATCATTACGTAAATATCAATTAGTTAATGGAAACCTAATAAAAATAACCATCCCATGTGTGAAAGTGTGCAACATTTAATTGGGAAGATTTATGGGATTATTATATGATGATTATTGTGGGGCATTTAATTTAGTGTAAAGAAACAAACGCTTTTATTCCGATTGCGTAAATGAAGTTACGATATATATATATATATATATATATATATATATATATATAGACATTGATGACTCAATTTCTACATTAAAACAGTTTGGTTTTGGTTCACTTAATGCCATCATTTATACACCCCAACATTTCTGGACCCAACCACATATAAAAAATAATTAATAAACAAATCCTAACTTTTTTAATTAAGAAAGTATGATTAAAATTATACTTTTAGTAGAAAAAAAAAAAAAGAAGCAAATTGAAATAATAATAATACAGGAAGTTATTTTAAAAAATAAATTTAAGTAATTTATAGACATAGACATTTAATTTAAGAAAAAAGAAATAATAAATAAAAAAATAAGAAATTGAGAATATATAAAGAAGGAAGGTGTGGATAGAACAGTGAGTAGATGTAGATATGTGAGAATGTGAATGTGAATGTGAATGTGAATGTGTTGGTATGACATGACATGTCATTGCAAAACATCCCTTCCTTTTTCACTTCCAACCAACACACACATATCCCCATAAATTAATTCAACCTACCTTCATACCCATTTCTGCTCTTATTTTATATGTTTTCTTAGCTAATTAAATCATGCTATTTTAGTATAAAAAAGGGGTTTGTGTCAACTTAATTCTATAAAAACTCAATTAACATGTACATTTTAATATGGTACTAGTGTCTATTTATGTGATTCAATCAAATATAGAATTTTTATTATAAACATAAAAATGAAAATTACTATGAGTTTTTATTACGAAGAAAAACCAGAAACTTATATTTCACTTTCAGATGATCATCACTCTAACTAGTGGGACTCAAATTACCAGTATAATCCATTATTCTAAGAAGTTAAAGGTTCAAATCTCGAAAGATAACGAGTGTTCGTGATGATTTTGTAATATATATATTATATTTTGAAAACTGGGTAAAAAATATTGATATTATTGTCAAATTAAAAATTACAGTTTTTTATTTTTTTGGCATAATTACTTGAATTCAAAATTTATTACAACTTATATATTTCATATGTAAATATTAAGATGTAATTGTTATTTAAGTGAGTTTGAACATCAATTAGTTATTA